AAAAAAAAAAAAAGAATTTAAATAGAACTTATATGATATTAGGCATTAGCTTGGATATCTGGACTGGTCAGCACTCTAGCCGCACCTGGAAGAACATGAGATACTCTGATCTGATTGCTGATGTGTCCAAGTCTGCTATTCTTTGTTCCTTTGTTCTCATAGGAGGCCAAGCGCTTTTCCAATATCGATAAATCTTGGGTGAAGATCATGACTCGGGCACATGAAATGCCCAATGTAGTCCAGTGCTGTGTTGGGGATGAGACCATGGGCCAGCTGCTACCACACTTGCTGGACCAGTTGGAAATATGCCAGAAATCCCTTACTGGGTAAGTGCACTGGCTCTCTGAAGGCTGCAGTATCGTAGAGATGAAAGGGAATGGAGAGGCTGAGAAGCAGGAGCCAAATCTCTTTTCTTTTGCTCAGAAAGAGCAAAAGAATTCATATATAAAGTTGTTGCAGGGATAAAACTGATATTCTGTAGCCTTATATTCTTTCCAAATACTTATTAGATTTGTTCTGATGTTGGACTCAGGACTTGAGGCTACTTCCAGTACCTGGATAAGCTCTTAAAAAATTCATTTCTGCCTTTTAAAATTAATATGCTTTTTATTCTGATATGATTCTTGGAAAACATTGTAAGACCAAAATATTTTATTATACTCATTGTATCATATAGTGTGTGGTCTCCACAAGCAGTCAGTATTATGCAAAAATGAATGTCTAATATACATGAATCTACACAAACACACACACACTTATGCATATGTAGGCTTGGTAGATTCCAAGAATCATAATTTTTTTTTGCCCTTGGTTTATCAAAATAAAATAATATAAGTAGAAATATGTTAAACAGTAGTCTTCCATAAGAAGTGTACATTGAGACTTAAGGTGAGCCCACTTATTCTGAGCTTTTAACTTATATAATGATGCTCCTTGGTCAACTCTGGGAAACAGATAACCTTTCACTATACAAAGTATCCTCATGACATGGGATAGTGTCCTGGGAATAGCTGACTTGTTCTTTGCACAGAGGAATCCAGGTCACCTAAGCCAGCCTGCAGTAATAAACACAAGTGATGGTGAAAATGCTATGATTTAATAAAAAAAAAAAAAAAAGAAAAAGAAAATGCTGAGCTTCATATGGTGCTTTGGAAAGATCTCTGTGAATGAAATAGAGGAATTTATTAAACTTGAACAAAAAAGTGACTAAGCTGAAAATGGCAAAAATACCTGTATGATAACTTATAAGTAATAAATGATAATATTTATTCATTGCTAACCAAAAAAAGTTTTGAGATAACAACTGAAAAGTAAGGTGATGTGAAAGTTATGGTCAGATCCAAAGAAGGACTAATAAACTAAGATGGTAAAATTGGTGCAGAGAAATCCTATAAACAGACCTCAGACTCAGAGGCCGAAGGCCCTTCCTAGGGCCCAAGGGAAAAGAGACATAGGAGGAGGCACAGCATTGATAGAGGACTCATAAGATAAAAGGTTCTAGTTCAAGAAAACATTATTTTTTTTGTCCTTGAATTGATACTTTGGAGGCATTTCCATTGTGTATCCTCTTCAAAGGGACCCCTGAGTAGAATCTTCACCAACTTCCTTATTATAGTGTGGGGCAAACATGATCCTTTCTTATAAATGCACAGTCAGTGCCTCCAAAGTATCAACTTAGATATGAAAAGTGATCTTCATGAAGGATTTGTTGATGATCACTTTTCATATCTAAGTTGGTGGAAGGTATCGGGCAGCATAAAATATGATAGATTTAAACTCTGACAAGAATCCAGAGGATAGGCAGCCTGCACTACTGATTAAGGACAAATTCATAGACTTTGGCAGTCAGCTGGGGAGAGATTGAGGTTGGTCTCCTTTGGGGGAAGTTGAAGAGTCTAAACAAGACCATGCTCAAATCTGCATCCACCCCACTACCTGTGGAGCTAGTTAATTAGGAGCTACAGGTGGGACCAAGATTTACCCCAGGAAGTATTTGCATGTTTTCTCTAATTTAGGTGACGGGTGTTCCAAAGGTCTATGCTATAAAGTTCATCATGATACCTTTCCTTTAGAGAATTGCCCGGGGCAGGGTTCTTAAACACCATGCTTATTGCCAATGTCAATATTAGTAAAACATCCTTTAAATGTCTACTTTAACACATAACCACTTGTAAGTAATTCCTCCAGTGCAAATTTTTTGAAAAAATCAACTAAAAGGTATTAATGATTTAATCTGCTTTATAAAATAGATCAAGTCAAGTACCTGTTGAAAGACATTTGACAAAAACAAGGACTTTTCACATGATTGATGCTGTGCCATTGTTTTTAGCTATATGATGATTTAGCATGACCAACTGTCGTTCAGGCACCAATGAAGGTTCTGGAATGTAGATCTGAATTCTCTAAGGCAATTAATGCTCTAGGGCCCATGAGTCTACCACCAAAATAAGGCCTCAGAGAAAGAGGACAGAAGTTATGAAAGTTTCCATGATTCTAGGACTCTTCAGGATGGAAGGGGTGAGGGGCAGAAGCCACTAGGACATCGTTCAGGTTCAGTACCCCCTGAAAATCTTGCTGAGGAATCATGCTGCTGGTCTTCCTACAGCTGGGTTTGTTATTTTTCTCTTCCTTTCTTGTCCTCTACCAGTCACAATAGATGCATGCAGACACACACACACACACACACACACTCAGATACACACTCAGACACACACACATGTGCATTCACTGCCCTCTCTTTCTTCTTCTTCTTTTTTTTTTTTTTTAACCATGGACATATTCTATTCTGTCACTTGATGTTTTGCCATTATTTTATAACTCCATAGAGAAAGTCTACTCTAAAATTATTCACATATTCACAAGTTTTTAAAAAAAACTGAGATTTCCCTGTCTTTTGATTCTATTACCAAGAAGAGGTTATAAGACAACATGTGTAAACATGTGAGTCCATCATATTTACACGAAAGCAATGCCTTCCTGAGCTGTCAAGGATCAGCATGGACAAGAGGCCTTACAGAGATCAGATATAATTTGAATGGGTAGCTGGGGGTGGTGACACATGCTGTAGGCCCAGTGATTTGTGAGGCTGAGCTGGATCACTGGAGCCAGGAGTTGGAGGCTTCAGCGAGCTATGATCATGCCTCGCTCTCCAGCCTGGGCAACAGAGTGAGAACCTGTCTCTAAAAATATAATACTAATAATACCAATTTGGGTGGGGGTTCAGCAGGAATGTCTCTGTCATGATAAGTGGTCTTTTTATGCCATCGTAGAAGTCATGGTCCACAGCCTCCTTCCATCCTGGTCTAACTGGATAGAAAACATGACCAGATTCCTCATCAGAATCAAACCAGTTACTGATGACAAGTAACCAATGGGAATTAGTAAGTCAGCTATTAAGAATAATAATCAAATTATTATTGGGATATTAGGGATATCCCAATAGGGATATTATTATTGGCAAATTAGGATTGGGATATTTAAAATAATTAGCAATTTAAACTAAAGCAGTAAAAAGCTAAAATATCAAAAATTAAAAATTACCATCATAAAAGTAAGACTGTTTGGGCTCTCTGGATTTCAGGAACTCCTGGAGGCAGAGAACAGGGCCACCACCCCCACAGAGCTCCCCACACATGGGTTTTGCTTCTCCTTTGATGACAGATTCACTGGATTCCCTTTTAGGATATAACTCCAAGAATTATATGGAGCTGTTAGCTGACACAGCACTGTACTTCAGAAGCAAAACAAAACAAAATCAAAACTTCCCTTGGTATATTTTATCCTGCTCTGCACACAGGATGTACAAGATTTTCCAGACTAAGCAAAACATATACATTATGCTTTTAAAAAATGAAGAAATTCTGCCACCAATTTTGGAAATCATTTCTTCATCAGAATATGGAATTGCTATTTGTTACATCTCTTAATAAAAAACCCCCAAACATTGAGAAGTCAGGTGGGAAAATCAGATTATCATACAATCGCTCCTTTTTCCCCGTGCAGGTTAACTTATTCCTAGGATGACCAGTTTCTGTGTGTTTATAAGGTTTATATTTCTCTTCCCTTCTTAGATACTTGGAGAAAAAACGACTCTGCTTTCCTCGGTTCTTCTTCGTGTCAGATCCTGCCCTTCTGGAGATCCTGGGGCAGGCCTCGGACTCCCACACTATCCAAGCCCACTTGCTGAACGTGTTTGACAACATTAAAACTGTCAAGTTCCATGACAAGGTTCCCTTAATCCGAATTGCTGGCCGACCCGTCACTGTCTCTTAGACTCTCAATTGTCTTTATTAAGTAGTTCTCCCATCCTGTGTTTACAAAGGGTTGCTTTCATGTCCGTTAATTTTAGCTCAGCAACTGAGAACAAACGTGGGGGGTACAATCTACCTTCAGAACTGGGTAATTTCTTGCCATGCAAAGCGTAGATTAGAATAAAAAATGATAGTTTAAGAATGATGAAGAATGCACGTATGCAGCTGTTGTGGTTTTACACGCCAAATTAACTCCTTAGGCATCCAAAAGGGTAGAGAAACCAATTGCTCATAAAATAATGCCTGGAATAAACAGACCTGCCCCAGTGATTTGATTTTTTAAATCAGATTGCAGAAGGTTATGGTATGCTTTATTGAGATTTTTTTTTACACTTCCATGTTTATGGAATTATGGAGCTGTGGGGGGCCTCCCTCAAAGGTCATGGAACTTGAGGGAGACAACTCGCACAGCTACCAAAAGATACTATCTACCCCATCCCTCTACCAAAAATCCCAGAGGAAAGCGCCCCTTCCCATTTGTTACTGTACTCAGTTTCCCTCTGCTGCTTCATACAAACCCTTAGTAACATTCATTACTCACGCTGGCATGCAGTTTACTTTATGAGGGAGCTACCGTGTGCCAGATGTTATGGCTCACATTGGGCTTCACTGGTTAAGGCTATTGTCAGCTTGATAACCTTGTGTGGAATAACAGGCTTTTAGAGAGTCCTAGGTCACCTGGGAAACTGTAGAGATTTTTTTCATCATCACATTTGTATTAAATATTTCCTTTAGAAAATGTTTTCCCCCTCAAAGTATAGATTATTTGAATTGACTGAGTGTTTCCTTTTATGTGTAGACTTCACGGCTAACTTTTTAAATTATTTTCAGAGTAATTTTCTATCTTGCCTTGTGCAGTATTTTATAATCTGCAGTTTAACTTTCTGTAGCCAACATAACATTTTATAAGAGGAGAATGGAAGAAAGAAAGGTAAAACACTTAAACAATTTGTATATGACTATAGCTATTTTGTTGGCTCCTAACTCAGGTCTACGATCGAATTCTGTCAATCTCCTCTCGAGAGGGAGAAACAATTGAGTTGAATAAACCTGTGATGGCGGAAGGCAACGTGGAAATTTGGCTTAATTCTCTCTTAGAGGAATCTAAGTCCTCCTTACATCATGTGATTCGTCAAGCAGCTGTGAATATTCAAGAAACAAGTTTCCAACTAATTGAATTTCTTTCATTTTTCCCTGCTCAGGTCAGTGTACTGAAATGGGAAAGTATTCAGTCATCTTAAATCTCAGATATTGCCTATCATAAGCTTCACAAATGGCTATAGTTTAAATCTGAACGAGTATTAAAGTTTTCGCTAAATAACAATCACTGTCAAAGTTTCAACTCAGATTACATAGTCATGTAGACTTATATGTGCTTTTGAGTTGTAGAGACACATTTGATAAATTGTCTTTAACATAAACAGTTTTTTTTTCCCCATGGAATTTTTTTTTGAGACAGAGCCTCAAGCTGTCCCCCTGGGTAGAGTGCTGTGGCATCACAGCTCACAGCAACCTCCAACTCCTGGGCTCAAGTGAGTCTCCTGCCTCAGCCTCCCAAGCAGCTGGGACCACAGGCGCCCGCCACAACGCCTGGCTATTTTTTAGTTGCAGCCATCATTGTTGTTTGGCGGGCTCAGGCTGGATTAGAACCCGCCACCTTAGGTGTATGTGGCTGGCACCTTAGCCACTTGAGCCACAGGTGCCGAGCTGGAATATCTTTATGTAACAATGTATATAAGTCATAAAAATGTACCTAGTGGATGCTTTACTAGAAAAACAAAAAATATATTTTAGCATAAAATATGGGAAATAATGTTTTTTTAGGCATTGTGATTAATAAAGATTTTATGAGCATCTAGCCTGTGTAAACACTGTGCTAGTTTGGGTAAAGCAAGTTTAAGGCATATTCTTTACCTATAAGAAACTTCAAATCTATTTAGGAAGAATGTGGCTTACACATGAACAATTTAAAGCTACAAGAAATAGTGTTGTCCTAGGTTGGGAAAGAAGGTATCAAGTTGATGTAATATCACAAGGCTTTATATTTTCATAATAATTACAACTATTCACTATACTCTACTTTCCTTTTAAATATATAAATGTGTCACACATATTCATGAACCCTTTTTTATTTCTGTAAGGTTGGATTATTAGGAATTCAAATGATATGGACGCGGGATTCAGAAGAAGCCCTTAGAAATGCCAAATTTGATAAAAAGATCATGCAGAAAACCAATCAGTCTTTCTTGGAGCTACTAAACACTCTGATAGGTGTCACCACGAAGGATCTGAGTTCCACAGAAAGAGTGAAATATGAGACACTAATTACTATTCACGTGCACCAACGAGATATCTTTGATGACCTGGTAAATTCATTATAAATACTGTGACATATACAGAAAAGCAAATACTCGACACTATGTGTGTTTACCCACTAGAATTAGTTTGATTGAATTCAAAGAAGAGGTTAAATTCAGGCAAAGAATCAGCTTAATCAGAGCATGTTGTCAGATTTTCTTTACAGTTCTTAACTAAAATGTCAGTCATATTCCGATGATCTATGCTAAGACATTATTGAGACAATTAAGCTTTATTTAAAAAATGTTTAAGTGATTCTTTTTAATGTTAAAATGCCATATAACATCCTGAAAAGCTTTCATCTTTTTTTCTTTTAGCTAGTAATTGAAGATCACCATTTTCTTGCTAGAGAAATTATTAGTAATATTGCTAGTAGGGCTGTTTAGGACCTTCTGAAAAAAATTACATCCTTGACAAGTTTTGCTACATTTTATGTCATTGATTGCAAATGGCCTTTCCTAATATAGCTTGTGACATTCAGGTGTCGGGCAGGTTTTTGGCTTTAAGGGGAGAACAGAGTGGAAAAAGAGAGTTTATTAGCCGTAGGAAATGAGAAATGTGAAAAGAAATGCAATGAACTTTGTCCTCTACTGTAAGCTGTAACATCAGATAGGAGAGGCAAGAAGCTCTTATTTTCATAATAATTTTTTGGATTTTGTCTCACCCCATTATGTAAGAAAGATTACAAAAGATAGGTACTGATGTAATGGAAATAAAGGGGCACATTCAGGCTTTGTGTGCTAATCTCCCCTCTTAATAGTTAAGCACACTTTTTGCCACTCTGAGAAATAAAGGGCTCAGGGTAATTTTAGATTTCTTATTTGTCAAAGAAGGATGATTAAAGTGGCTTAAAAATTTGGTTACAAATTCAGACAAAAGCCTGGCTAGGCAATAACCTGTCATTTAGATGTTAGAAATTTTGGCCTTAAGTATTTCTGGGAAAAATAATTAATGGACTAAAAAAACCTCAACAATGTACTTCGTCATAATCTCAAGAGATGCCTTTTTCCTAATGGGATTGTTTAGTTCTGTCTTTGTGTGCCAAAATACGTTTTTCATAGATTGTGTTTCACGGTATTGTGTATTTAATGGTGAAATTTAAGAAATGAGCATCTTATTTTATTATGAAAGTATGTAATGCCGGTTAAGTAGGAGTGGAGTAATTAGTTTTTTTTTTCTTCTTGAATTTTCCTATCCTCATAGCTTCTTTCTTATTGACCAGTGGGTTTTATTGATTAATGCATGGGTTAGCCGGTGATACGGCTGACGTCTCTGAACTAGTTGGGTTGTCTTTGAGTTCTGTGTATTGCACTTACGATCTCTATGGATGCTAATATGTATGTTTTATAAGTGATTCTCATTCACTGTTCTAACATATGTCTTTTGAATTTCAGTGTCACATGAATATCAAGAGTCCTGTAGATTTTGAGTGGCTGAAACAGTGCAGATTTTATTTTAATGAAGATTCTGACAAGACGATGGTTCATATCACAGATGTGGCTTTCATATACCAGAATGAATTTTTAGGCTGCACTGACAGGCTTGTCATAACTCCACTCACAGACAGGTGATGGGAGGATTCTGATTCCTCAGCCTCTGTCACCCCCTTCCCCACCATTTTTCTTCTCTCGAGTTGCTCAGGGGATCTTTGCTTAACGTCTCTTGAGGGTTGATTGGCTCTCTGATATCAGAGCCTTTGAAATGTAGTATTTTTAGCTTTACACCTGTGTCTTCGTATGGGATTTAGGTTTGTGGCTGAATCAGACCTTGTTTCCTTTGCCTTCTATCTCATAGAAGGGAAGTTTAAATGTATCTGTGGATGTTGAATGGGTAAGAAAGGGAATTAATTGCTGTGTGTCACTAGGGACCAATCACAGTGGGCCTTGAGGGCTGATTTGGTAACTTTTCATTACTGAGAAACAGTTAAGATGGTTTTTTAGCAGAAAGAAATTGAGAGTCAATGCAGGTGAAAAGCAGAGAGGCCATCGGCCCACCACCTAGAGGCGCCAGTGAGAGCTGTCAACCTCCTAGACTCAGTCTGCTCATTTGCAAGATAAACTAGGCTGTCCCCAAGGGTCCGTCCAGGGATAATACTCTGTAATTTTCTCAGTCTAATCAGAGCGGTGTGGTATTAACCACATTGCACATTCTCTGTTGGGAGACTCACGGGATCTCTTTTATCGCTTCACATTCTGTACGCGTCACATAATATCACATTGTACCCCTTAGATGCACATAATGTTGGCCTGTCAATTAAAAATAATGTTAATTTAGAAAGGTGTGAAGAGTAAGCAAATAGACATTTCCCTTGAAATGCTTCAGCAGTTACTCACACCTCCTCTCTTTCAAACCTCTTGTACTTTTCCCTTCCTCTCTCTGCACCAAAGGCCTGTTCCCGGTTTCATGAGAAGACAGACATGTTAACAGGAGAGACCATGCACTCATCTTCCACTGCCACACCCATCAGCCTGGGCTCTTATCACGCCGCCTCTGTCTCTCCTGTTGTCCTGGCAGATTACCGTGCTACTGTCCAAAGCCAACAGCCCCACTGACACCATCCCTTTCTGCTGGATCATTGCCATCACTGTGGGAACACACCGTGATGCTTCCACACAGACACCTCCACCGTGACCCCTCCAGTTGCCTTCCAATTCCTCTGCTCCCATCAAAACCCCTCAAAAGCACAATTTCTCTCCTCATTGGATTTGAACTCGCCCCATTCAAATTCTTGGTGTTAGTTTTATTTTGCTGCCATCACAAATTAATACAAACTTAGAAGCTGAAGCAACACAAATTTATTATTTTTATGGTTCTGTGCATCGGAAATCTCACACAGGCCTCACACACTGGACTACACTCAGGTGTCAGTGGGGCTGCGTTCCTTCTGGGAGACTCCAGGGGGGAATCTGTTTTCTGCTCTTCTATGTTGTTGGCAGAATTCCTTTCCTATGGTTGTAGGATCTAGGACCCCGTTTCTTACTGTCACCAAGGGCTGTTCCAGCTGCTCAAGGCTCCCACATTCCTTGATTCTCAACCCCTTCTTCCATCTTCAAAGAGAGCAATGGTAGGTTGGGTCTCTGTCATGCTTTAGAGTTCTCTCTCTTCTATCTCGTGTCTCTGACCCACTTTTCTGCTTCTCTCCTCCCTGATATCAGATTGGGTCCACTGGGTAGTCCAGGATAATCACTTCATCTCAGTGTCATTAACATTGATGACATCTGCAAAGTCCCTTTACCCATGGAAGGTAACACATTTATAGGCTCCAAAGATTAGAACATCTTTGGGGAACCAATATTTAGACTATCACACTTTACCCATCACTCTGATAAAACAGAGTGAAAGTCTGTGAAAGTCACTTTGACCTTCAGGTGCTAAATCCAGTGGTCATTTCTGGATCTCATCTTCCTTGAACAATCAGTAGCAGTGGCATAGTCCACCATTCTCTCCCTTTTTTTTATTGTTTGGGATTCATTGAAGGTATAAAGAATTAGGTTGCACTGATTATGGTCATTAGGTAAAGTGTCTCTTGTAATTGTGTCCTGTTCCCAAGAGCTGTGCCATACGCATGACCCCCACCTCCTTCCTCCTCCCCTCTCCCTCATTCCCCTGCCCCCCACCTTATATTAGATCATCTATTGCCTTCATATTAGATTTGAGTACATTGGATTCTTGTTTCTCCATTCTTGTGATGCTTTACTAAGAAGAATGTGTTCTACCTTCGTCCAGGTTAATGCAAAAGATGTAAAGTCTCCATTTTTTTTTCTTTTTTTGCAGTTTTTGGCCAGGGCTGGGTTTGAACCCACCACTTCCAGCATATGGGGCTGGCACTCTACTCCTTTGAGCCATAGGTGCTGCCCTAAAGTCTATCTTTTTAATGGCTGAGTGGTATTCCATGGTATACCTATACCACAGCTTGTTAATCCATTCCTGGGTTGGTGGGCATTTAGGTTCTTTCTATGTTTTGGTAATTGTAAATTGAGCTGTGATAAACAGTCTAGTGCAAATGTCCTTATGATAAAATGATTTTTTTTCTTCTGGGTAGATGCCTAGTGATGGGATTATAGGATCAAATGGAAGGTCTAATTTGAGTTCTTTGAGGATCTCCATTCTGCCTTACAAAAAGGTTGTATTAGTTTGCAGTTCCACCAGCAGTGTAGAAGTGTTCCCTTCTCCCTGCACCCACACCAGCATCTGCAGCTTTGAGACTTTATGATGTGGTTCAGTCTCACTGGGGTTAGGTGATATCTCAGGGTGGTTTTGATTTGCATTTCTGATGATCAGGGACGATGAGCATTTTTTCAAATGTTTGTTAGCCATTTGTTTTTGTCAGAGAAGGTTCTGTTCATATCTCTTGCCCAGAGATAGATAGGATTGTTTCCTCTTTTTCTGTTGATGAATTCGAGTTCTCTGTAGATTCTTGTCATCAAGCTTATCTCAGATTCATACCCTGCCAATATCTTTTCCCATTCTGAAGGTTGTCTTTTTGCTTTACTTGTTGTGTCCTTAGCTGTGCAGAAGTTTTTTAATTTAATTAAATCTCATTTGTTAATTTTTGTTGTTGTTATTGCTGCTGAAGTCTTGTCATTTGGAACCAGATAAAATGCTGTATAGGCTATTCTTAGTAATAAAAACAAAGTTGGAGGTATCACCCTACCAGACTTTAGGCTATATTACAAGTCCACAGTAATCAAAACAGCATGGTATTGGCACAGAAATAGAAACATAGACATATGGAGCAGAATAGAAAACCAAGAGATAAAACCAGTCTCTACTTGACATCCGATCTTTGATAAACCAAACAAAAGCATACAGTGGGGAAAAGAATCCCTGTGCAACAAATGGTCCCGGGAGAACTGGATAACCACATGTAAAAGACTGAAACTCAGCCCACACCTTTCACCCCTTACAAAAATTGACTCAAGATGGATAAGAGACTTAAATCTAAGACACAAAACGATAAAAATCTTAGAAGAAAGTGTAGGGAAAACTCTTGATGATGTTGGACTAGGAAAAGATTTTATGACATTCTCTCCTTTTTGGTAAACTTTCTTCTTCATGTGGTTTCTGAACACCACGCTCACCTGGTTTCTCATTCTGGTCTGGTTGTCCCTTCATATCTGTTCCTCCTTGTGGATCCACTTCACTTTTCTGACCTCTTAAACCTAGAACATGCCAGGTCTCTTTTCTTCTCCATTTTCTTGAGTGATCCCACATGACTGCTAGATCCCCATTAAATACTGCTAGATGTTGAACTCAAATATCATCTGGCCAGGCTTCTTCCTTGAGTTCTAAACACACATATCCACCTCCCTGCTTATGGGGTATTTGCCCTCAGCATGTTTGTTTGTCCCCCACAAAAATGCTCTCCCATCATCTCTTTCATCTTAGTTAATCAGGGAAGAGTAATAACCAGAATAATGGTCCCCCCTAAAGATGTTTATGTCTTAGTTCCTGAAACCTGCGAATATGTTATCTTCCAGTTGTTCAACCCAGCAATCCTTAGAGCAAGCGTCTCCCTCACCTCATCATCCAATCTACCATCAGGTTGGTCAGTGCTGATTGGGGAAGACATCTAGAAAGTGACCATTTGGCCACTTTTCACACTTTTGCTGTTAGTCCTCTCATCCAAACCACCACGATCTCTAACCTGCATTACGCACCTCCCTGCCTCTGCTCTTGTGCCTGTACAGCCGGTTCCCAGTGCAGATGCCAGAATCCAAGTCAGGTCCTGTCACTTCTTTGCCCACACCCTCTGCTGTGGTGCCATGACCTCACATCAGCCTATGCAGCCCAGCACAATCTGGCCCCTGCTACTTCTCTGCCTCTCATTCCTCCTTCAGATCTGCTACCTGCTCCTTGGCCATCCCTTGAATAGTGCCAGCACAGGCCTGCCACAGGACCTGCCCTTGTTACGCTCTTGGCCGGGAAGCCTCTTCCCTCAGTAGCGGCTCAGCCTGCGTCCTCACTTCCTCAGGTCTGTCCTCAGTGGCACATCTGACGGGGTCTCTGACCTTCCACATTTGAAGCAGCAATCCTCATACCCCATGACCCTCTTACCCAGCTTTATTTTACCTATTTATTTTCAGAATATAAGCTTCTTCTTCTTTTTTTTTTTTGAGACAGAGTCTCACTATGTCACTGTTGATAGAGTGCCACAGTGTCACAGCTCACAGCAAACTCAAACTCTAGAGCTGAAGTGATTCTCTTGCCTCAGTCTTCTGAGTAGCTGAGACTACAGGCACCTGCCACCATGCCCAGCTATTTTTTGGTTTCCGTTGTCATTGTTTGTTAGCAGGCCCAGCCAGGCTTGAACCTGCTAGCTTAGGTGTATGTGGCCAGCACTCTACTCACTAAGCCATGGGTGCTGAGTCGATGTAAGCTTTTTGAGGCATGGGTTTTGCGTGATTTATTCACTAGGATAGATCTGTCACCTAAAGGTGCTAAATAAATATTTCTTGAATAAATGAAAGAAATGATTATTTTCCCAAATTGCATCTTAATGGTGAAAATCTTAAATGGCACAGAAGAACATAACGTAGAAATTGTGAAAAGGAAAAATTTTCTATTTTTCAAAATGATTATTTGTTTCCTATCCCTCTGAAAACTTTGCCTGGCTATGTGTCAACATCCTTTCTAAGTTTTGCATCTAAATACCACAGTTTATCACCTTTCCGGACACTTGGTCCCCTTTTGATACATTCATTACCTTACATATTTTTTTTTTTTTGCATCAAAAAACTTGAGAACTTTAAAAGCTAAAGTATTTACAAGTGGAGGTGATTCTGAAGTGTGTTTTAAGCCCGTTTCACCAGAAATGTTTGCTTGTGTATTTTTCTTTAACTAACCTATGTAAGAACTGATTTATCCCTTTTTGCTACTTATTGAGATTGAGTTCCATTGCAAGATTTTCTGCCCTTTTGCAAAAGAAAACTGCTCAGTAAAATTTAAAATTAATACTTAAAGTCAAATGCTAGAAGCACTGATCGTTGTTAGCATTTTGCTGATTGGTTTGTGGAAATTCCACAACTCCGACAGCTCTTGGGGCTCTGTCAATCTCCACACCATGTGGACAGAGCTGCAGATGTTTTAGATGATAAAATAGCCATTACGATGTGATAACAGATGCCACCTTCCGCCAGAACCACATGCTGTTTGCTCCCACTTTGGAGCACATGTGGAGAAGAATAGAATTGTCGTGCCTCTGCTGTCACTTCAGACAGGGGGCGCAGGCTGATAGCGGCTTCTCGCCTGATTGCTAACAGATGTCCCTGACACATTCTCACAGCGTCTGTGTGTCGTGCCTGGAGGTTGACCACTCAACCTTACTTGTAGCTGCTGTAGGCTCTTAGGCAAGACACCTAACATCTCTGATTCTCTTCTTTTGGAATCACTGTGTGGACAAGGGCCGATGCAAGTACGTAGAGCAGATGTTAGGTGTTAATATTATTTGTGCTGTGACTGTTTTTCTTAATAAACACATTCTTTAGCAACTTTTCCTTTTGTTTTTCCTTAAGTATGTCCTAAAATTAAAAGTCTGTATAAAACAAGTTTTCAGTAAAGAAAAGTACCTTGCTGATACATGCACCGTGTTATCTTAGGAAGCTTTTCAGCATCTTAGAATCAACAGAAGCTGAATCCCCTCCTGGTTTCCCTGTGGCGAGATACATCCGCGGGGCAATGAATACTTAATACCAATGCTGGTGATGGATCGGTCATGTTGAGCGCTAATGAGCCTCAGGTCAGGGGGTTGGTTGCTGTTCTTCTGGCATCACGATCGTGTTTTATGTTTCCAATTCCAGTAACCGCTGGGACAGGAGAAACCAGTTAGGAATGTATGGCTGGACCAGCACAAGCCATTTATTCAACAGATGTTCACAGAGGACAGGGTGACAGGGGTTAGGCAAGAGTTGAGGGTACAAGTGTGAACTAGACACAGCTTCTGACAGCAGAGAGTTTATAGCAGTCTAATTGGAAGGTGGGACACTGAAACAGAGCTGTCAACAGGCAACTCAAACACACAAAGTCCAAATCCTGTTCACAAATGGAGACAGGAAAGAGATTAGAAAGAAAAGCAGAGGAGGGAGGGAGGAAGGCACACACATGTGTAGAATACTCTGGAAAGACCCTCATTAACAGGTACCCGGAGATGCTCTGACAGCCCTCTTGTCTCTGGAAGGCCATTTGGGTACCAGCGTAGCAGGTGGTCTGAAGCCCCACCTAGCAGAGAAGTAAGGGATGAGTCACCGACATGCTCACTGACTCTTCAGGTGAACAGGATGATTTCTTTGAAGCAACTCACTACTTCCTCAGTTTAAATACAAACCCAATGATCCTAGTTTCGATGAGCGTTTGTAAGACAGAGCAGCTGAGTGGACAGATGGAGACATACTTCTTACCCTAAGAGGGTAACTAGGCAGTGAGAGGGCCTGGCCCACGTCTTAGCAATTCCCCCACAATTCTGAGAATAGTTGCTCAATCTGTGGCCAGGCACGGTGGCTCAAGCTTGTGATCGTAGCACTCTGGGAGGCCTAGGGGGGAGGAGCTCATGAGTCTGAGACAGGCTGAGCAAGAACAAGACCTCATTTCTACTAAAAGTAGAAAACAACTAGCCGGGCATGGTGGCACCTGTAGTCCCAGCTACTCAGGAGGCTGAGGCAGGAGAATTCCTTGAACCCAGAAGTTTGAGGTTGCTGTGAGCTAGGTTGATGCCAGAGGACTCTAGCCTGGGGCAAAAGAGTGAGGCTTTGTCCCCCCTCCCCCCCCCAATAAGTTTCTGAGTCTCTGCAAGCTTCTTTCTTCACCTGTGAAGTAGAGGGACAGAACAGTAGCTCCCATCCAGAGTTCTGTGGAGAATTAAATGTGAAAATGCCCGCGGAGCACATCATGGTGGCTGTTCTTATAGGCTTTGCTCTGAAAGGGGTGGCAAAGGTGTGTGTGGGGGGCAAGACTTTGGGTTGCAAGGCTCGATCACCATGAGAGCAGGCCTCCTCCCGATTTCATGCCCAGATCCTCTCTCCTTATCCCTCTGTATAAGTTCAAGGCCGAGTCATTTACTTACCTTTTCAGCACCTGTTTCTGATAAAATAGAGACCCTGGAACACCCGCAGGTGTTGCACTAAATGTTCATTTCCACCCTTCCTGCTGGGTAATCACTTCATTTCCTTTAAAATATTTTTCAAGTCCAGAGGAATGCTTTATAGTTTGGCCATAAGAAAACCTTAAATCATGCCACTTTACAAATTGTTGCCTTTGACGACACCAGGTGGTGCTGGGACCCAAGTAATTCGTCAGCAAGTTCTCAGGTTAAAACCTTTCCTTTACACTGCTGCATTCTCTCGCCAAATCTCATCTAGTTAATCTCATCTAGTAAGACACCGTTGAGGGCGGGTGAGGGTCTCACAGATGCTCATGGACATAGATTCAAGATGTGATTCAAATCCCAAGTTCATCAAATTATTGACTCTTAGATTCAAAAGGGGATTAATCTACTTAAATCATTCCAAATCTCTTTCATAGAATATCTTTTTTTTTTTTAAGGCAGGGATTGATTTCTGTGAAGAAGATGCCAAGTAAATTTTGGAAATGCTATGTATAAATTTTCATACTTGGAAATTCTCAATACGTGTTATCACAAGAAAGCCTGAAAAATTCAGCAGTAAAGAAACCTGTTTAAGTGTTTGAAGAGTTTTCAAACTTATTTGACCACAGACTACCTCTGCCTCTTTATAGAACACGTATTACCATTGATAAGGATAAGCGTCTTTTAGGATGCATTGTTTTCTAATCTCATGTGGGTTACATTTCACTGTGATGTCGGAAGAGTCTTCAGGATGCTGGTGGGATGGGGCTAGTGATGTTTCTGGTCCCGCAGGTGTTACATCACGCTGGCTCAAGCTCTAGGAATGAGCATGGGAGGAGCCCCTGCTGGGCCGGCAGGAACAGGCAAAACAGAAACTACCAAAGACATGGGACGATGTCTTGGAAAATATGTCGTAGTTTTCAATTGTTCGGACCAGATGGATTTTCGAGGACTTGGACGGATTTTTAAAGGTTTGGGTTATATTTTTAATTTGATGAGGAATTTCAATGGAATGTCTTTTTAAAATTTATTTTCCATCAGTTAGCTATAGTTTAGGGTCATTTTTCAATTTGTAAAACATTTTGGAAAATCTTTCATCTTGCCAGGGTTGTGTCAACCACATGTTAATATTGCTTGCCTTTTGTGATATTCTTTTATCAGAGAATGTTGGATGTTTACAGAAAAAATGCCAAATTATGAGCTGTTTTGGGTTGTTTGGTACATGCTTTATTTGTTCAAATTTATTTTTGAACAAACCTATATATGGCTTGTTTTGGAAGCTGCATTATGTCCTTTTCCTTGGATTTCCAAAATTGTATCCTAATTGGATTTTCCATTTAATTTCCTTTCTAAGGACTGGCACAGTCTGGATCCTGGGGTTGTTTTGACGAATTTAACCGCATTGATCTACCAGTTCTGTCGGTCGCAGCCCAGCAAATTTCCATTATTCTGACATGTAAAAAGGAGCATAAAAAATCTTTTATTTTTACTGATGGAGATAGTGTGACTATGAACCCTGAATTTGGGCTTTTCCTAACCATGGTAAGGCTGTGCCTGGAAAGCTACTGAATTTCAGCTTCATCACAATCTTCATGCATCCCCTGGTCGTATGTCCTCTATTTTCCACAACTGGAAATTGGGATTGTAATTTTCCCTCCTATCTGAAAGCCTTTAAGTGTTAGACAAAAATCATATTAATAACTCATGGGTTGTCTGTGCAAGGAGAGTGATTTTGTAAACAAGTTCTGTGGTTGTCATTCCAGACTCATTGTGTGTACATAATGAATCTTCCAAGATCATGCTGACACGTTGGCCCATGATCATACTGTTCAACTTTGGGTTGTATTTTCTGTTTAGAATCCTGGCTATGCAGGGCGGCAGGAACTCCCCGAAAACTTGAAGATCAACTTCCGCACAGTGGCCATGATGGTTCCGGACCGTCAGATAATCATCCGAGTTAAGCTGGCTAGTTGTGGCTTCATTGATAATGTTGTTCTGGCCAGGAAGTTTTTCACACTCTACAAATTGTGTGAGGAGCAGCTTTCTAAGCAGGTGTGTTATTCTAAAGGTCTCTGTGGTATACTTAGGCATATTTCATTTTACTATTTGGTAAAATGTTTTTGTTTTGAAAAATTGTAGACTGGACTTGTTGATAACATTTGTCATTGATACAAAATAGGAAGTGTATCATTATAAAATAATTTCATATGCATAGTTTAATTGAGAAGTACATTTAAAGAAATTAATATCAACAGCATAGAAATGAAGTAAATACTATCCAAACAGATTTAAAAGCCAAAGAATTATACATATTAATATTTGCTGTTTATTATGCCTATAGATTCATCATCATCCTGGTTTTACTTTTCTCACTTCTTTTTTTTTTTTGTTTGCTTTTAGATTGAGAGGGTACAATTTTTTTTTTTTGTTGTTGTTACATGGATGAGTTGTATAAAGGTGAAGTCAGGACTTTGAGTGTACTCACCAGAATCATGTACATTGTTCCTGATAAGTAATTTCTGGTCCCTCACCCCCTCTTTTCCTCCTCTTTTCTTAGTTTCCAGTGTTCATTATACCTCGTTCTGGGCATAGGTACCCATTGTTTAGCTCCCACGTATAGGTGAGAACAGGCGTCCTCAAACTATGGCCCGCGGGCCACATGCAGCCTACCTAGGACATTTATCCGGCCCACTGGGTGTTTTGCCGTCGCTGCCTGTCCTGCTTAGCAGCTGACTCATCCCGGGGCCTGCAGTCCGGCCCGCCAACGGTCTGAGGGACAGTGAACTGGCCCCCTGTTTAAAAAGTTTGAGGACCCCTGGGTGAGAACATGTGGTGTTCGGTATTTGTTTTTCCATTCCTGAGTTACTCCATTTACGATAGTGGTCTCCAGTTCTGCCAAGTTGCTGCAAAAGACACTATTTCATTCATTTTTATGGCTGAGTAGCACTCCATGGTGTGTGTGTGTGTCTACACACCACATTTTCTTCATGCACTCATTATTTGATGGATGCTTAGGTTGACTCCATGAGAATTGTGCTGTGATAATCGTTTGGGTGTAAGTGTCTTATTGATACATGTATGATAACTTCTTTGTTTTTGGGTAGTTACCCAGTAGTGGGATTGCTGGATTGAATGGGAAATCTAATTTTAGTTCCTTGAGGAATGTCTATACTGTTTTTTGTAGACGTCATACTAATTTACATTCCCATCAACTGTGCGTACGTGTTCCCTCTTCACTACGTCCACACCAACATCTGTTGTTCATGACTTTTTAATAATGGCCATCCTGACAGGGGTAAGATGGTATCTTATTGTGGCTTTAATTTGAGTTTTCTTGAAGATTAGTAAAGTTGAGCATTTTTTCATGTTTGTTGGCTGTTTGTATGTCTACTTTTGAGAAAAACCTGTTCTTGTCTTTCTCTCTCTTTTTGATGGGATTATTTGTTTTCTTTCTTGCTGACTTGTTGGAGTTCTTGTAGATTTTGGATGTTAGTCCTCTCTCAGATGTATAGTTTGTGAATATTCTCTTCCATTCTGTAGATTGCATGTTTACTCTGTGGATTATTTCCCTTTCTGTGAAGAGATTTTTAATTTAGTGAAGTCCCATTAATTTATTTTTATTGTTTCTGTATTTGCTTTTTGGGTCTTAGTCATAAATTCTTTGCATGGCCTAATGTCTAGAAGAATTTGTCCTGTATTTTATTCTAGTTTTTTTTTTTATGGTTTCAGGTATTACATTTAAGTCTTTTTTTTTTTTTTTTGAGACAGAGCCTCAAGCTGTCCCCCTGGGTAGAGTGCCGTGGCATTACAG